TGCTGCTCTGCAGCATCATTAGAACCAGAGTACACTCTCTTCAAGTCATGGCCGTGTATTACCGAAACCCACTGAATCTCAGTCTTCCCTTGGAGGCTGTCCATGCCCTCCTGCACCACTGAACCTCAAGTGACCAGCAGCCCTCAGATGGAAACATGGCCAACTGCTGGCTGCCCAGCCTGAGGATCACAAAAGGTCAATGCCAATTTTTTAGTCAAGGGAAGCAAAAAAAATAAATTCTGAGTTTTCTGTCTGGGAGAATCCAGACTCAGCAGTGGGTGCTACTTCCATTACTATTAATCTGTAACTATTGTGAGGCCAGGGAGTGCAAGTGTTGAAAAAGTTCTACCATCCTACACATTTGTAACACCTGTAACAGTGGATACACAGCTCTTACTGCTGGTGACAGTGGATTTCTCTGTGGAGCACAAATACACTTGGTGTTACTGTGTTGAAGTTATGAGAAATAAGGTAGATGGAAATCGAAATTCTGACAGGTTCCTCAGATTTAGGATTATTTTTCACTCCAATTTTCTAAGAAATGTGACTGAACATTTGTTGATCCGGGAAAAGTATTTTGCATCCAAACCTCAATTTAATTAACTAAAAGTTGGTTTTGAATGTTTTTCCATCCTACCTACTTACTCACAGTTGCCTGTATTAATAGAAACTGTTGATAGATGTCTTTAGGGGAAGTTCCTATCTAATTAGTAGATTTTTTTATGCTGCATCTTGCCAATAAAAACAAAATTAAAACAACGAAACAAAGCTAATTATGTGGTGCTTTGAAATACCTGTCACATAGTTGAATATACATTTCCTCCTTCCCCTACTGTACATCAGCTAATAGGTATTTATATATCACGTATTCCACTTTTTGCTGGATTGTTGTTTTGACATATTTGTTTAGAAGGTGATACCCAGGTCCTTTATGAAATGCTCCTGACTGAAGCAACAAGAAACGAGGTAGTTGCAGTTCACAGAGTAAGCAATTGTGTGAGGCAAACAAGTTCTTGGCTTTATTTAGACTTTTATTCTTAGAGATCCTTCCCCTGCCCCAAATCTCCAAATGGTTAATGATTAGTGATGTGAGTATTGAATGTGGGTGTGAAATAGCACAGAGGTCTGGGTGTCTGGCTGAGATCTAACCTGGGCTACATCTGGTGCCTGATTTAGCCTTATTTTGGTCTGAGACATCGAGAAATGATGCTCTTCACATGCCTTCTCTTTGGTAATGTAAAGTAGTCCTTGATTTGGGACTTTGATACAAATTTAATAAGATGGATTTCCTATACCATGTCCAGATTTGTTTCAGATGTAATCCTAAATTTAAGATAATGTGATATTCCAAATTTGCACAAGTTAGTAACAGCATTTATTTGGAGGTGGACCAGCTCTTCGATGAGTCACCTATATTAATGAGTTTGTACTAATTGGCCATTCACTGAGGAATTCCAGCCTACAGGGAGGTCAGAGGCCTCAGTGTGTGTGGATGGATCCTCCATTGCATGGGGTAATATAAAACTCATGGAATGCCTACTGGGTATAGCTGCCAGAGCGGGTAACTAAATTTAAGCAATCTGCATATTTTCAGATTATATACCACAGGAAGAAATGCAAAACAGTTCTGTGTTTGACTCTTTGGAAATACTTGGGTATGTTAATTCCTAGGACTACTTGCACCAGTGGAAAGTTGTAAATGCCTGCAGCATTTACAGACTGGTGGTGGTGGTGCAAAGGCAAACACAACCGCGCTGGATCAAAATCTTGGCTACAGATTTCACAAAGGAGAATGACATACCTAACCAGAAACCAGAACTCCCATCAGGTCAGCCAGCCAGCAAACCCCAAAATAATTTAGTATATCAAAATAGGAGGCAGACTTTCCTTTACACGGAAATCTGTAGGAGGAAAAATGAAAAGGGTCATGGCACAAACACAGATTTGTACCACTGTCGAAGGCTGCATCTTGTGTTGAAGGGCAATGATCTGATTCATTTACTCTTTACAATGGTTACACTGACATGATTGAGTCATTAAATCAGTTTTTTACCTTTGCCTCATTTTCTGAATTTCTTGGAAATACTTAGTACAGTCTATAGGTTCCTGCCTTTCTTTCGTATGAAAGAAGAAATATGAACCTTCAAAAAGTCATTCATTATGAATGTGTCATCTTATTCTTCTTTGTGTTTAACTTCCCTAGTAAATACCATGGAGCACAACTGTTATTCCAACTCAAGGCTGTATAAAAAGCAGTTATTTCATGGTGCTGGATCCATAGCATGGGATTAAGTACAGTTGTTTCGTTGTTAAATATTTTGGAGTGTTTCTGTGTCTTTAAGTGCTGCAAATTCCAACCATTGTCTTGTCAAAAGAGCCTTATACAGGTGAATCGTTTTGTAAGAGTCACCACAGTGAGAAAAACATTTACATGCCTATGTCTCCCTGGTTTGGATTTTCTTCTTTGCTGTCTCTGAATCTTTGATTTACCACCTGCACCCTAAGGTGACTCTAAAGATGCCTTCAGGTTTTCCAGTGGAATCCCATAGCCTAATTCTTGCATCTGCAAACCAAGCCCAAGTTCTTTTCTATCATTTTTCATTAGGTCAATGATATCTTTGCTATCTGTAATCTCCAGACATTAAAAACTATGGATAGTTTTAAAATGTTTTTTCTGCGTACATAGGAAGTCTTCTGGGCTTTCTGGCTCTGTGAGGAAAATGGAGCTGTAATGAGTCCTGTCTTCAAAATCTCAGTGCTGTTACATGTAGTTCAATGGATGTGATCAGGAGATGAATCCTCTGATCACTGTTTAAGACTGGCCTGCTTGCTTGCCCCAGGTGCTGATGCAACTTTTTGGTTGCTGAATAGGGGAAATCTGAGTTAGATTATCAACCCAGTGCATGTCTTCATTTTTAACAATATAAATTCTGTATTGGGTCCCGTTTGAAACTCCCCATTGAGGTTTCAGGGTTGTAACAAGCAGGGAATGCCCCAAAGAAAGAAGCCAGCTAACAATAGAAAGGCTTGAAGGTAGCCTAAGGAATAGGGAATGTTCTAGGGACAGGTAGGCAGGCAGGAACTGAACCCTTGCTTTAGTGCTTGGTTTTGCTGATCTTTACTTTCAGACATGAAGATTCTGGGACTAGATGCAAGCCCAACTTAATATGAAATAAAATCAAACCTGTTTGAGAAGAAAGGTTCTGAGCAGGAGGGTACAGCCAGCTCCCTATTCATTGAAATTCAGGGTTTCAACCAGCAGTAATCTGATACTCTTTGCTTCTGCAATTCTGAGCTGCTCCAGCAGCAAACATCAGAGCTTTACACACAAAATCAGATATAAACCAACTTTTCAAAAATCTTTCTTTGTTCATAGCTTTTTATGTTTATTTTTCTTGTATACAATGGTGATTTTAGTTAAAATAACACTGCATCATTTGGCTCAGGTTACTAGATAATTGGGGAGTCTTTAAAGCAGATTTTCAAGTTGAGAGTAATGGAGACAATTTATAGTAGAACAGATGGTTGGCCTTCATTTGCCTGTTGACAGGTAGCGTGTTGTCAGCACTTCAGGTTGTTATCATACAGAGAACAGCAGTTCAGAATCTTAATTGGGACCCAAAAGGATATACTCTACAGCTTTTTCTGGGCATTTACAGGCACAGAAAGATATACAAAAGAAAATGGGGGGAGGAAAGAAAGCCGATGTCTACGTTTCATTCAGATGCAAAAAACGTTGAGTTTGTGCACATTGATTTCTGTGTAAAAATCTTTTCATGAGAGTACAAAAATGGAGAGGCTGAAAGAGGTCAGAAGAGTACTGCTTCCCATGCACGAGGTATTGCCAGGGAGTTCATATCCTCACACCAGTGCTTCCTGTTGTAGCAGCAACAAACAGTTCATTAAAGCATGCAGAATACACTGTGTGAGCAGCTATGCAGAGCACCTGGAAGAAATTTGTGAAAATGGAGAGATTTCTGATTGAATTTTTTTCCACTGTGATTCGGATGTTCACTATATTGAGCAGAAAACAGCTGAAATCACGTTCTCTGAGGCAGTAAAATTGTGATTACTTACAAAGTACCTGTCCTAGCAGGAAGAATACACAACAAAATCTGCAGCACTTTTCAAATAGCAAGGTTTGCATAGGCATTACTAATCAGTCTCTGGCTTTGTTACCTTCATCTTTTATTTTATTACATTTAATTACTTTATTTTATTTGGTGTGCTAAACTGCTCCCAGGAGGCTGTGTTTTCAAAAGGTCTGTGGCTCCAAAGGGTTTGAAGAAGAAATGCTGTTTGGATAATGGAAACTAAAGTAGGTGCAGGCTGGCACTGTGGTCTGTAGGGGACAAATTCCTCTCAGACATGCTGCTTAGAGAGATTCCCTGGAAATAATGCCATTATCCCTGAGAATATTGTCAACCTTTGCTCTTCAAATATTCTTTATCTCACACATCCAGTTATGAACTCCTTTCACAACTCATTATTATTATTGAGGGCTAACACTGTGCTTGGCCCGAGTGGGTAATACGTAAATCCTGCTCAAAGGGCTAACAAGCTGTGGTGGACTGCTTTCCTGCAGAAATGAAATCAAAGTCTAGAAGCAGGTCACATCCCAGCTGTGATATTTTCCCAAGGAAAGCAGCTCAGTTAAGCATCCAGCCCAACTGTGATCTCCATCTGAGAGGCACATGATGCTCTATTACTTAGGAGTGGAGTATTTTAAAAACTGAAAATCGATCCCTAGCAGCTGCCTTTTTAAATCTCAAAAAAAAAAGGAAAGAAAACAAACACTTCTAACACAACATTGTTTTTAGGAATAATGAGACATCCGAGGAGATGCTGTTGTAAAGCTATTTGAGATTCCATACAGGAGTACAACAAACACCTATTGCTGCAGAAATTTCGGGAACATGTGGGAGATGCACACAAGCTGGATTAGAAACGGAATGTCCTCTAGCAAGCTTCATTTTCTATCTTTCTTTTTTTTTTTCCAGCAAGCCACAAATGCTACTTTCATCCTCAAAAAGAAAAGAGGGAGAGAACTTTACATTGGCTGAGAAAGTGTGAGAAATTCATCCCACTGTACCTTTCCTTGTGGATAACCAGCTGACCTCTGCCTTCAGCACCCACCGCTGCCTCAGCTGGGCACCCTTCTGACACATTAATTCTACAGCAAGGCTTGGACACCCACTGTTTCATCCTTCCTAAAGATTATTTTGGCCAAATCACGATTAAAAGGATATTTTTAGCTAGCTTCTGCAGACAAAATATCAGAGGATTTGTTTCTGAGTCAGAGGTAGAACTTTTGTTCAGAGAGTTTCTGGAGCAATATTAGAGTGTGGAGTTACTGAGTTTACTGTTCTTGGCTGATAATTAGGTGGGTGTTAATATTGGATTGAGAGGCATGGCATCCATGCATGGGACCAGTGACACTCAGCTTTAGGCAGAGGAGATGCACCAGGAATTTAGCAGGCTTGGCCCTGCTGGAAGCTGTGCATGCTTGGAAAGATTGGAACCAAAGCTGGGTTTTGATGCCCTGTTCAGATGTAGCACAGGTAACTGCACTAACTACTGGCCTGCTTCTCTCCACTGCTGCATTTGTGTGTGCACCTGGAAGGTCATGAATAGGATAAAAACACCATTTATTTACTCTCTTTGCTCATTCAGATCTTGGAGACTTTGCTGACCCTGAACTACAGAAATTAGCTGAGCTCAGGTGATACGGGCAGGTTCTCATGAGGAAGCAAACGAAAGCCTCCTGACCATGTCTGTGAAAAATTGGGTTGAGATGAATTTCAAAAGTGCTGTTGATTTTAGGGCTTTTATTGGCCTCTGTGCTGTGACTGTTCTCACTGGGTGTGCCTGATATTATTAACCTCCTACACAGCCCTCCCCATCTGACAGAAAACTGCCTACCTTGCAATCTTTGCCAAAAACTTGTTTAATCTTCGGCAGCTCTAACAACTCTGCACAATGTGATGAGGTGAACAGCTGTAGAAGTGAGAGATATGGGAAATAGACTAATTTCTCTTTTTTGGCCAAGAATAGGATGAAGGATCTGTGCTAATTCTAAACATAGTTATACTAAACCTCTGTCTGCTTTGGCTGCTCTTAAGCAATTATTCTCTATCTGATGTTTTATCCTTTGAATTAATCTGCCTCAGCTGCAGAGGTATGAGCAGGTGCTTGAAGACTACCTTGCTGAGAGGGCTGAAAACACAGAGATGGTGATATTTGACAGATATTTCACATTTAGCTTGCCAGGAGTGTACCATATTCATTTGCAGCTGAACCTTAGGGAGACTGTGGAGCTCACAAAGCTTTGTGAGGGGTGGGATCACAATACCCCATCTGTAACCTGCCAACCCCTCCTGGACAGTGCACAAAGGCCCCTGGCTCCCCACTTCCTTGGGGAGCAATGTATGGCATCTGCCAGGGATAAGTGGGGTCAGAGAGCCAAAGGCAATGCTTCCTATGCCTTCATTTCCCATCCTGCACTCCAGGAGAAGCAGGTACACTCTGCCCCTAATTATCCCCAGATAAAATTTAAGTGTTTTGTTAGTTTCTTTTTTTTCTTTTTTTTTTCTTTTTTTCTTTTTTTTCTTTTTTTTTCTTTCCTTACTGTAACGTTTTCTTGTGGTTCTGGAAAGCATTTCTTCATTGTTTGGATTAATTTCCAAACAGATTAAAAACTGTTGTAGCAGTCAAGCTTCAGTTCCTTCGTTTATTAGATTCAGAAGACAGCAAATTCCTTAAAACACAGATATAAACAATTATGGTAATGCATTCTGATTTTATAATTAGTTTTCATCACAGGAAACATATAAGTTTGGGCTTCAAATTTTTTAGGACACTCCTCTCCTCCCATCTTTGACTTTGAAGTTCATGCATTTCTGTTCCCAGCCTCATTCCCAGCCCTTGGTGAGATGCATTGAAAAGGGACAGAAACGTAACTCTCAGAGGCACCAAAATGTGAGAGAAGGTCACAGAAGGACATGGACCTGCTGGAGTGAGTCCAGAGGAGGCCACAAAGATCATCAGAGGGCTGGAGCACCTCTCCTATGGAGACAGGCTGAGTTGGGATTGCTCAGTCTGGAGAAGAGAAAGCTCCAGGGAGATCTTAGAGCACCTTCCTGTGCCTAAAGTGGCTGCAAGCGACCTGGAGAGGGACTTTGGACAAAGGTCTGGAGAGGCAAGACAAGTGGCAATGTCTTTAAATTGAAAATGCTAGACTTACACAAGATATTGGGAAGAAATTCTTCCTTGTGAGGGTGGTGAGGCCCTGGCACAGGTTTCCCAGAGAAGCTCTGGATGTCCCATCCCTGGAAGTGTTCACTGCCAGGCTGGATGGTCTTTCAGCAACTCTGGTCTAGAGGAAGGTGTCCCTACCTGGGGCAGAGGGGTTGGAACCGAATGACCTTTAAGGTCCCTTCCAACCCAAACCATTCTGTGATTCTAAGAGATTTTTCAATGACATTTTTGGGCACAGAATCAAGCAGTCAGAGCTTTACTGAAAACTGAATTTGGACCCTTGTTGTTATTACATACAAAAAGGGCTTCTTAATTTTTGTTTTAATTACTTTTGTCTTGCATATCCAGAAGGATAGGAAATGAGTTTTATTAATACATAGAGAGTGTAATGATCATTAAAGAATAAAGGAAGGATTATAGTATTCTGGTGCAGTCCTCCCACACAGAACCCTGAAACCTAATTGTAGCCCTTGAGGGTTTGAGCATTGCCCTGCTTAATGATAATTTGTGTCACTGCTCCAAAAAAAGAAGTGGCTGTTAGGGCAGAAAAAAGCTCTGATGAACAATGGGAGAGATTAAATTAACATGAATGGGCAGAAGCCCCATATGTGGTCACAGGATCCATTAAGACAAGTACTTCCAGCAGAAAGAGGGAAGTATTAGGACCATTGTAGAAAACACTGATGAGTTCAGAACAATCTCACCCTTACAATTCTCATAATTTTCCTTCAAGGAAAACAAAGTCAAGCTGAAACAGGTGCTGGGAAGGTCAGTGGGGTGACAAGTGGGAATTGGAGAGCCTGCCTGACGAGTGAGGATGTGTCTATTCTGTGTATTGAAGTTCAGCAAAGAAAGCCTTGAGCTAGCACCTGCCCAAGCTCCTACATCCAGATGGTGCACTCAAACCTGGAAATAGCAGCCTCAGCGTAGCCCTGAGCCTCCACTGGAGCACCCTGCAATGCATCAATACTTTGCTCGGGTGGAATCACGTGCTGAAGCACCCTTACAACTTTCTACAACTGGATTTGGCTTGCACAGTTCTTCTCCTTGGGCCATAACACCCAGCCTAAAATCTTGCTGAGCCTACTCAAGTCAAGACCAGATGAGTATAATTTTTCTTTTCATAAGGATAGACACTGAATTGTGTGCATGCTTACTGTGGGAAGGATGAGTGAAGGAGGAAAAGAAGAACTAGTTAAACTTGAGGCAAGAAAATATGTCCTTAAACTGGTCATGAAAGCAGTAGGAGCTCCAGCTGGCAGAGGAGCAGTTTTGAAGTGGCTTTTCATTAGGAATACAGAACCTGGTTCGTAGGAGATGTTTGTTGCCTTCACTAGCGAGTTAAAGGACACCACAGTATTACCAGCTGAAGTTGTTCAGCCCCTCGTGGATGAGAACTAGGGTGGCAAGAGATTTACAGCACATGGCAACCTCAGCAAAGTCTGGACATGGGAAGTGAAGATTTGCCTGAAACTACAGAGTGTTTTGGGGACCAAGTTCTAGTCACCAGGTTGGGGTTCTGTGGTACAGAGGTCGCTTCTCAGTCAATGCATATGGCAAAAGGTACAGCCTGGAATTCTTTGCTGGACTTACCCAGCGCATGATGCTGCCACTGGCTGATGTCTGCTGATGCCCTGAGATGTGTGCTAGAGCACTGGCTTGGTGTGAACTAAATAAGCCCTGCATGAATGTGAGCTGAACTCCCACCTCCCAGGCTCTCACCGGTCCTACACGTGATCTCGATTTGTTTGCGATGGGTCTAAACAAAACTCCTACAGCACAGAACACGATGGCTCCTTGTCTGTGGCAGGAGCCAGCCCTGCACAGGAGGCTGTTAGTGTGGCATTGCACAGAAGCTCAGCTGGTAGGAAGAATTCTCTTGTGCTGGTGTGTGTGGGGCAGTGAGGGGCTGTGGGGCAGGACCCACCTGAGCGCAGGAGCAGCTGTGCTGAATCTCCGCTCTGTGTGCTTAAGCACTGCACCAAAGGCAGCAAAGATGCATTTATTTATTTCCCTCTTCAAGGCAATTTATACAGACCAGAAGAGACAGAGACCATGGAGGTTAAATATTCAGGGTGGGGATTTAGCTGTGTGGATCCTATCAAGGTTAATGGAAGTTGCACCTCTAAGTCCCTTCACGTCACTCAGTGAATAGTCAGTAACCCTTGCACCATGAGCCTTAACAAGAGTTAGTCATAAGCAGTAGCAGCACTAGAAATAAAACTCATTTGATGAACTAAATGAAATGAGTAATTTAAGAACAGCAAGTATTGTTGTAGCTGCTGTTGTGTTCAGAAGCTGAGGAAAACAAAGAGTTAAGGAAGAGATTAAGATAAGGTTTTGTAAGAGGTGATTTCTGTTTTCCTGTCTGACATCCTTTTCTGAGGCTCATGATGCAACAGTTTTCAGTATTATCCCCATGAAGATGTCATCCAATTCTCTCTTTATCAACACGTAGAGGTAAACATGCTGAGCTGCTGGTACAAACTGGGCTGCAGTCAAAATGCAGTCAAGACATGACTTTAACCTTGGCTTTAGCATTCCCAGGTCTTCTACCTGGGATTCTGTTTCTGTAATATCCAGGTGCATGATTCCAACACATTGGAGCGAGGCCTGAACTTTTAGCTATCATATTTTTCATATTATGTGCTGCCGAGGTGTGTAATTTTGAGCTTCATGTTAAGTGTCAGTGAGCTCTTTCCACAGAGTAGGTAGACAAAATAATTCCTTTTCCAGCTAGATACCAAGGACAATTGTTACAAGTTTCAGGCCCAAAAGCATAAACAAGGGGGGACTGAAGAGAGAAAACAAGAAGGATGGGACTTCATCATCTGAAGCAGTGACTGGACAATTAACCCTGATATTCAGGTGGACCAAAACATAAAAATGTGAGACCTTGTGGCCAGGCACACATTTTGTGACCATTTT